AATACATTCCGTACAGATCTTCAGGAGAAACTCAGAAATACGCAGGGGCGACAAACAGACTTTCTTCACGCAGCATGGCTCGCGTAACAACTTGTGTTAACTTGTGTTTACTTGTGTTTACTTGTGTTACTTGTGCTTTCTTGTGTTTGCAATTGTGTTTACTTGTGTTTTCTTTTGGTTACTTGTGGTTACTTGTGTTTACTTGTGTTTACTTAATTGTATTTCCTTGTGTTTACTTGTGTTTAATCTAAGCAATGCATTTGAATTAATTTAGCTAAGGAATATTGAAATGGTAAATTTAATCCTAATCTAATGTAATACCGCCATAACTTATCAATATAGAATGTTCTCTATGTGTTATCCACATACATTTTGAAAATAATGATAATAATAATAATAATAATAATAATAATAATAATAATAATGATAATAATTCGAAGAAAAAAAAATAAAAAGAACTAGCATATATTCCCGCCGTTTACCCGCGCTTGGTGTAAAATCATGATTTTAGCTGACGTACCTGACGTTGCCCCTTTAAATTTCAAAATCTTCAAATTTTTTTTCTTCATGTTATACAAAAATATATAAATGTTGAGTTACGAGAAGTTTACTGAGAATTAAGGAATCAATTTTAATGAATAAAACAGCCTTTAATCATACAAATATTAAATGATAAATATTTTGCAAGAAAATGTGAAATATAACTTCAAAGAACTTTCTGACATAGAAATTAATTTTATAAATTCATAATCATATATTTCATTTATCCAGTGCAGCATTATATCCATGTTTAAAAAGTACATATTATCCAGGTTTACACAGTACAACATGTATCCAGGTTTATACAATACGACATTATATCCAGGTTTATACAGTACAACATTAGTTCCAGGTTTATTCAGTACAGTACACCATTAAATCCAGGTCTACACAGTACAACATTATATCCAAGTTTATACAGTACAATATTAAATCCAGGTCTACACAGTACAACATTAAGTCCAGGTTTATTCAGTACAACATTAGATCTAGGTTAATACAGTACAGTGCACCATTAAATCCAGGTTTATACAGTACAACATTAGTTCCAGGTTTATACAGTACAACATTATATCCAGGTTTATACAATACAACATTATATCCAGGTTTATGCAGTACACCATTATATCCAGGTTTATACAGTACAGTACACCATTAAATCCAGGTCTACACAGTACAACATTATATCCAGGTTTATACAGTACAATATTATATCCAGGTTTATACAGTACACCATTATATCCAGGTTTATACAGTACAACATTAGATCCAGGTTTAAACAGTACAGTACACCATTATATCCAGGTTTATACAGCACACCATTTTATCCAGGTTTATACAGTACAATAATATATCCAGGTTTATACAGTACACCGTTATATCCAAGTTCAACATTATCTCCAAGTACAACTTTATATCCGGTAGCTATTGTCTCCCTGCAACCGGTGTTAAATGGACGAAATCTACGATGCTCTAGGTCCGAAGAGAACCACGGAGAATAAAAAGTAACCGAGGATGAAATCTTGAAACGGCCTCCAGTAGTTTACCTAAACCCAGAGAGAAGACAGGACGGTTCTATATGAAACCTGGATTTGAAATAATGTTTGTTGCAACCACATTATAAAGTTAAATTTATTGTCGGACAAAAATTGAAATTCAAGTGTTCATTTTAAATAAACATAGATTATGTTCATTCGACATTATAATAATGATTCCAAGTGATGATCTCTGAAATTGCTGGATTGTATGATAAGGATTATTATATCTTATCAGGGAGCAGACAAGAAGGATTAATAGAGTTCACAACAAGGTACAGAGAGGATTGTTTAAAGTGTTGAACAAATGATTCAAAATTCGGTTCTATTCCTTTCCATATCTTGACTATAGCTGGTGGCAGGTTTCTGACAGGATCTCACTGGATTCAACAGACATTTAACTCCTGCTCTCAGCTAGAATTTATTGCCATTTAAAATATGTAAAATTGTCCCAAAACCAGGAAACTTAGAATATATATTCCCTTGCGGTGGATAGTTATTGGGTGATAGAAAAGGTTTAAAACCAGCCCCCCTCCCCCCTCGGCCCCTCACCAACCCCCTTTTTAATTCAATCCAATTCCATTCGCGCAACAAAGGCAAAGAATTCTTGGGGTCCGTTGAAGTCGATTTACAATTTTCTTTACGGAAACATCTGATAGAAATACATTAAAGTTTCCATCTATTCACTACTTCTAAACCCTATTCCATATTTCGCGAACAGTCCCTTGAAACAAAATAATATCTGAGAGTCCGTGAAAATTTGTGTCTGCCTTCATTATTAAAATTAAAGTTAAATTACATGCGACGTAGTTCTAGGTATTCCTAGCTGTAGGGCCCGGCGTTGCCTGTCGAATTGAAAAAAACGAATTTTAAGAAAAAATCAAATTTTAAAAAGTTGAATTTTTAGCCTATATTATCTCTAGGGTACCCATGGGTTCCCTGAAAAAAAATCAGTCAATTCTGTCCAGCCGTTTGGCCAGCCATAGCTGACATATACATATATATATATGAGCAAAGAGCTTTATTATATAGATAATTGTGTACATGAATAAAGTAAAAGGTTAAAATTGTAGAGACCATGTAGCCATCTCTCTGCCAGACATATTTCTAGAAATACAGTAAAAACTGAATAGGGTTGTCAACTAAGTTTAGTTGACTTTTCATTCAAAAATACAATTAGAAAAATAGATTTCTGGTAAATTTAAAATTATTTTAAAATCGCTGAACTTAATCTAATAATTACCATTATCCGTATAGATTATATTTCCCGAGTGTACCTTTAAACCCCAATAAATGATCCCTGAGAACTATTTAATCCTCCTATGTGTCAGGTTCAAAGAAAGGCCCTGTCTCCAGGTCCAAGAGGAGCCTGGGGGAGATAAACCAAGGTAGAAAACTATTCGGAAACCTTCGGGAGGAATCGGTCTTCAAACTAACCTTGTAACTTTTTCACAGAATTCTTAAAGGATAAAATAGAGAGAAGAGAGAAAATAACATATATTCATGAGGAGGGATGAGAAATAAGGAAAGATATATTGGATTATTGGATGACATGGATAGATGTGAAATAAGGAAGGATATATTGGATGGAAAAAAGGAGGGATTCAAAATAACGAAAAATATATTAAATGAGAAGGATGGACGAGAAATAAGGAAAGATATGTTGGATGAGAAGGATTGATGAGAAATAAGGAACGATATATTGGATGAGGAGAAGGAATGATGAGAAATAAGGAAAGATATATTGGATGGAAAAAGGAAGGATTCAAAATAAGGAAAAATATATTAAATGAGAAGGATGGATGAGAAATAAGGAAAGATATGTTGGATGAGAAGGATTGATGAGAAATAAGGAGCGATATATTGGATGAGGAGAAGGAATGATGAGAAATAAGGAAAGATATGTTGGATGAGAAGGATGGACGAGAAATAATGAAAGATATGTTGGATGTGAAGGATTGATGAGAAATACGGAAAGATATGTTGGATGAGAAGGATTGATGAGAAATAAGGAAGGATATATTGGATGAGAAGGAATGATAAGAAATCAGGAAGGTTTTATTGGATGAGAAGGATTGATGAGAAATCAGGAAGGTTTTATTGGATGAGAAGGATGGATGAGAACTAAGAAAGGATATATTGGATTGAAACATGGATGAGAACTAAGGAAGGATATATTGGATGGGAAGGATGGATGATAACTAAGGAAAGATATACAGGATGGACGAGAAATAAGGAAAGATATATTGGATGTAAAAGATGGATAAGAAATAAGGAAGGATATATTGGATGAGAAGGATGGATGAGAAATAAGGAAGGATATGTTGAATGAGAAGGATGTGTGAAAAAGGAAGGATATATTGGATGAGAAGGATTGAGGAAATATAAGGAAGGATATATTGGATGAGAAGGATGAATGAGAAATAAGGAAGGATATATTGGATGAGAAGGATTGATGAGAAATAAGGAAGGATATATTGGATGAGAAGGATGGATGAAAAATAAGGAAGGATATATAGGATGGGAAGGATGGATTAGAAATTAGGAAGGATATATTAAATGAGAAGAATTGATGAGAAATAAGGAAGGATATGTTGAATGAGAAGGATGTGTGAAAAAGGAAGAATATATTGGATGAGAAGGATTGATGAGAAATAAGAAAGGATATATTGGATGAGAAGGATGGATGAGAAATAAGGAAGGATATATTGGATGAGAAGGATTGATGAGAAATAAGGAAGGGTATGTTGGATGAGAAGGATGGATGAGAAATAAGGAAGGATATGTTGGATGAGAAGGGTGTGTGAAAAACGAGAAAGAATAAATTAAAAAGGAAGAATAAAACTGACACAGAATGTAGGACAATTTTTTCACAAATTATAGCAGAAAGATGTTTTATTTTGTAATAAAAACTTTAAGAAAGTTTTAAGAAAATTAGTTTGATGATTTGGCCAAGTTTTAATATACTTTGGAACATGTTTCATTAACGTTTGAATTAAGACAAACCAAATATTGACAAACCTATCCAGAGTACTATACATATATACATGTATATACGTATATATAAGATACTGCTGAAGAATGTCCAACATGAAACACAGTGTCCGTCAAAAACCAATCTTAATAAACATTAGAACATGTTATAGACTTATTTTAAGAAGATACATATGTATATATATATTACAATGCTGAGACAAATTGAACTTAATTTATTTAATAAATAAAACCGATGCAAAATATAATCTTCGTTTACTTCAATGAAAAGATTCTTCTCTCATTTTTGGTGGTAAATCCTTTAAATCCTTTACCTGTTTTTTTTACTTAATTATGAGTGTTAGCGAAGGGTTATAAACTTAAAGGATGAACATTGAACAATAATAAAACAATAAAGGAATTGAGTTTTTGCCACAAGCTCAAATTTTCCGATCCCTATATCTATGCAACCTTTTGGTGTAAACCTTTGATATTTTAAACTTAGTTTATCCAACATAATTTTTAGTTTGAAATATCAAAGGTCTATAACATTAGGCTGTCAAAATGTAAGGATTAGAAAATCAGAGTTTGGGTCAAAGACTCAAATCCTTTCTATGAAATTTGCCAAAATATAATTGCTTTTCATGACTTTTCATCCTTGAAATCCGTTTATAATTTTATTTACATAGTTTTATTTTGCAGGTTTATCAAATCGTCTCCTGGTGCTTGAAAGAGCTGAGCTCCGTGTCCTCCAGGCGGTTCAAAGAGCTGAGCCCCGTGTTCTCCAGGTGGTTGAAAGAACTGAGCCCCGTGTTCTCCAGGTGGTGGATAAATGTGGAAACCATGCTGATCCTTCTACTTCTCTCCAGTATCAACCTTGCATACGGATACTGTCCCAGGAATCAATCAATTTATCACAATCTTGATTAATCAATTATTTGAAGTCGAAGGACTAGGATCAATTTAACTATAAAAGTCAGTAGATTTGACCAGGTAGTCTATGTTTATAATGGATCTTGGAAGCTTCAAAAGAAACACAAAATGATCGCGAATACAAGGAAATTAACTGTTGCCACAAACTCCAATGTTTTAATCGTTCTGTCTTTACAACCTAATATTGCAGAAATGAATCTCCTGGATCAAATAGTCAAAGTTAAAAATATTTAAGCTTTAACCATCTGATTGCAATGACAAAGAAATTAGATATTGGGACAAATGTTCCATTCTTTTGATGTTAAACGTACAAGAATTAGAATGGTATTCTTGGGAAAATAATCATAAATCTGCTGGTAGATTGAGGTGAAATAATACCGTTTATGTTAAAAGAAAGAAATGTTAATTGAAACGTGGGTGAAGGTAGCTTGACGTAGAAAAGTACGAATCCATAAACATATACATACATAATCATAACTCTATCTATAAATTCTTTTTTAAACTAAAAGAGAAAAGTATTAAAAGTAGTCTCAGGGAATTATATAGAACAAAATGACCGCCTAAATATAACAGTTAATAACATTTCCATTAATAGAAAACAGTTAATGAACAGTTTTCTATTCATATCGCACGATTTTAAACAACACTTTTACCTCGAAATTCGTCTTATTATTCCTCATTAACCTGGGGAGAACAGACCAGCGCCATTTCCTTTCCCTTTATTCAAATATTGTCATCCACGATTCACAGCAATACTCATTTAACTTATAATAACTTATAAAAAGCAACTCGTGGGTTTTAACAGCAACATCGGGCAAGAAAATGACTAAATTTCTAAACAGAAAACATTGGATTTAATACTTTTTAATGGTGTTTTCTCTTTCTAATTGCAAGATTACCTGAAATTACATTGATAAACGTGTTTTTCGGAGAGTAAAAGATATAACAGAAATATCATCTTATTTATTACAGATTATAACAGTGTATAGGAAGCTAAGTTTATAACAGTGTATAGGAAACAAAGTTTATTACAATGTACAGGAGACTAATTGTATTACGGTGTATAGGAAACTAAGTTTATTACAGTGTAAAGGAGACTAGTTTATTACAGTGTATAGGAAACTAAGTTTATTACAGTGTATGGGAAACTATGTTTATTACAATGTATAGGAAACTAAGTTTATTACAGTGTATAGGAAACTAAGTTTATTATATGTATTATAAAAAGAACTTCTCTTTTATCCTTGACAGTTAGTTGGTTTGAGGGTTAGTTAGGTAGATAGATAGTTCGACAATAAAGTAATAGAAACAGAGTGACCACAAAAAAATACGTAAAGTTCTTAATGTAACATTTTCAAACTCAAAACATTTTGTGAAAGTTCTACAAAATTGGTCGTTCAGGCTGTTATTCTAAATTTTACATTTATTTTGAACACCCTGGACATAGAGAGCTAAATTGATATTGGCTGTGCACTTGCAGTATCCTTTTAAACTAGGCAGCTCTAAAGGGAAATAAATTTTGTTAAGCCACAGATTACACAGATACGGCACAACAGATGTAGTAATTTATACCTTTCAGTGTTGGAGTTAAATCTCTCTTCCTGACCCAATAAACTTATGAAATTCAAAGGTGGATTGAAAGATGGTTAAAGAAACTGAGTTTTTGCCCCAAACTCAAATTTAATCTTCACATCTTTGCAACCTGAAAGTGTAAACCTCTGATAAACAAAGTCTTTTTGATCTAACAAAATTCATAATTAGAACTGATAAAAGTCTACAACATGCTTGCAACAATACTGGGATTTTAAAATCCGAATTTGTGGCAAAAACTCAGTTTCTTTACAGTCATTAACAATTTTATAAAATAAGAATGTTAGAAAAGTCACAAAATATTTTTGAATGGAGGATCCAAGATGTAGGAACCGTAATGGAGGATCCGTTTTGGAGGATCCGTGATGGAGGAACCGTGATGGAGAATCCGTGATGGAGGATCCGTGATGGAGGATCCGTGATGGAGGATCCGTGATAGACTTGGTGGTAAGCAGGTTGTAAAGTTCTTTAAATTGCGAGTTCCTCTTGTTTTCTCTGATACTCGATTCCTGGAGTGGAAACTTCTTTGCTCCGGCGCAGCGTGGTTAACTGAGGAGCAAATTGGCGGATTTAATATTACGACTGATTAACTTTTCAAGCCAATTCTTTTATGAAACATATTCTGTCATTGGCTCCAACAAATTATATTTTGAACAATCATGAATTGAATATTTATGCCCTGTGGGGTCAAAAAGACAATTTTAAATTCATAAAAAGACCTGAAAAATCCTCTGATAACTCTTTTAAGAGAGTGACCTGCAATGTATGGTGGTTGAACTGAGCATGCAGTATTGTAGAAAAAAATTTTAGGATTCATTTGAGACATAAAAAACGTTTCCACGATGTATAATTACTGAGTTTGAGCGCAAAGTCGGCTTTTAAAATCATGAATTTGGGTGGGTACGTTTTTAGAATCGTTTTTTCGAAAATTATTAAATAAGGACGACAAAAATTATTGTAAAAATTCTATAGTAAACTAACTAGATGTCTAGGAACATAATTATTTGTCAATAAATCAATGTTAGAATCAATTAATTCGTTTTCATCATTATATTGAATTTCTTTTTTTCGCAGATTTCTACAAATTCTTCAAATGTTGTCTTTTCAATAAAAATTCCAGAAAATCTGCAGAAAATCTTTGTGAATAAGGAGAGATTATAGAAACTAATAATGGAATAAGATTACTTGCTTTAGATGATAAGAGTTCATTTTTATTTTCTCCACCTGTTCCTGAATAACTAATTAGTTTACTGTAGAATTTTGTTTATATTTTTGTCGTCATTATTTAAAGATTTAAAAAAAACGATTCTAAAAACGTACCCACCCAAATTCATGATTTTGAACGTCGACTTTGCGCTCAAACTCAGTAAAAAACGTCGTACAAACGTTTTTTATATCTCAAATCAATCCTAAAAAATTTGTCCACAATACTACATATTCAATTCAACCCATACAGTGCCGGTCACTCTCTCTAAGTACACCCTGTATTTCAGTCCAAAATTGTGTCTCCGCGACGTTTTATTAATGAATGCGAGGAAAAACTTTATTTTTATTTATTTGTCAGATTGGTAAAAGAGATGCATCTATTGTTGATAATAGGATAAACAGAAGATAAATGAAAATATGACGTATTGTATATAACATTCAATGTTCAACCAAGAAACTTAATCTTTTGAGAGAAAGAGAAACCAAACCAAGTTTCGGAGACCTAGTTTCTCAAAACTACTAATTGCTATTAAATTAATCTTTTTTTTGAAATGTCCAAGGTTTGCATTTTGAGCTCAAAAGTTTGTGGCCCTCAGGATCATTTTAAATGCTTAGTGTTAGAATAATATTCCATTAATAGTATATACCTATACAAACAGGACTATAGGTCTACTCTATATACTATGTAAGTTATACATTATAAAATTAAAAGTTTCGACATTTAAATGTATAATTCAGAAAATAGCGAACACTACTTAATTGACATCAATGCACTATTTTACAGTAGACCATTAGGGTTTTTTTATGCCACACATAGATTAATCCAATGTCATATTGAAATCTGTTTGTTTCTATTATGTGACCAAATAAAATTAAAAAAGATATTGATAAGACCAATATGCTATAAGTTTCTATAAATTAATCCAATGTCATATTGAAATCTATTTGTTTCTATTATGTGACCAAATAAAATTAAAAAAGATATTGATAAGACCAATATGCTATAAGTTTCTATAGATTAATCCAATGTCATATTGAAATCTATTTGTTTCTATTATGTGACCAAATAAAATTTCTTTTCTCATAAACATAACTAATAAAACTTTAGCGTGGAGTTTCTTTAATCTTGAACTCTTGATCTCGATATCCAATGTTGGCACTTTTCAATTTGAGGACAAATTTGCTTGATCCCTCAATCTAAGGTATCCCTGCGGGGTATGAACACCACGGAAAATAATAAATATGTCGCTCTGCATAAGATGGAGATTAATGCTTGATCCTAAGATTCAAAACACAACATTTTAGACTTCAGGATATTGATAGGAGAAAGATAGAGAGATATATAAGTAGAAGGAGAAAGATTGATAGAAAGATACAGAGATGGATCTTGGATAGACAGTAGATAAATAGAACCGTTTTCTACTGAAGAAATTAGAATCTGGGACCAGATTTAATACAGAGAGAGACTCGGTTCAACTGCGTACGTGGTTCAACTTATTCTCTTCAGCTTGAACTAGCGCAAAGTGAGAAGTGACTGAACTACCTCTGCCTGGTTCAGCTACACATCGCTATTCATTATATCTGGTCCCGGACTGCACAATATTTAATCATCCATCTTTCTATTGTCATTATCTTAACTTTGCCAAGCATCTAAACTACTTTTGTGTTTGTATAGGGATAGGAGAAGGGTCCTATATCCTGCCAAATAAATAATTCTAAGGAAAAGTATAGAACAAATCCAGACTAAGTTGACATAATGTCAAACTTTACTAAAAATAAAAACAAAATAACTAAAAGTAAATGTATCACATCATCACTGTATGCTTTTTATTAACAAGAAAATAATAAGATCCAAAATTTCAATCTCAATAAAATGAAGAAAAGAAAAAACATATACACGTTTTCTCCCCCATGGCCTCATATCAGATATGGATACAAGGTGAGCCACAAAGGATGAGACAGTAAAGACGACTTGAAATATTGAATTAAGTTTGCTGCCTTGACAATATTCTACAAATGGCTTATTTGAGATTTCGAGGCAAAAAATGTTCCCAATTTGATAAATCGTATGTGTTTTTCAATTTCAAGCTATTTGATTTTTTATTTAATGGAAATCTTGACTACTCAACTTCTGTGACATCTTAACCTCTAAAAACTACTTGTTATTCTATTTGGTATTTCTCTGCAACAATAAAAAAACAAGAAGTACACATGTTCTCAATATTCTTAGTGTTGTAAATGTATCCAATAAAACAGGGTTCAGTTCAGCTTAATAATTAATATTAAAACGAGATGGTTTGAAATCAAATTTAGTCAATGCGATTTAATAATCATTTCAAACATTCCAGACAGAAAAGTTTTGATAAGTTCTAAGCTGTTACGGGATTAATAATTTGTATCATGGCACTGAAAAGAGCGTATACAGAAGACAATAATATTTTTTTCAAATGGTAGTTATAATTCACTATTATCTGGACCATGTCATGCTTTAAGGATGTTTTCTTGGTTGTTTTTGTAGCAGAAATGCTTCAAAAATGTAGAAATTACGACTGTAAGTCCCTTAAGAGGAATTTTATTAAATTAAGCTTCGCGCCCATCTTCTTTTTCAACTTTTAATTGTGGCTTTATCTGTGAGCATCTTCTCTTTGTACAGTATAAAACATTTTTTTTAATTTGCGGATTTGATATACTATTTTTTTCGCGCATTTTCAAAATTTACAAAATATTTTAAGATTACATATTTAAAGTCTGATTGGCCATAAACCTTCCCTGGGGCCACGTGAGGTCCCATACAAAATTTGGGCCTGATCGGTTCAGCCGTTTTGACTTTTATTGGATACAAAGAAACAGACAAACAAACAGACACCCACAGACAAGCTAAATTTATATATAGAATTAAAAAGTTAGATAAGTTAGATAGAGTAGGGAGGAAAACACTTTTTAATGACTCTTTAAGCTGAAAAACTGAAATATCATGATTCTGGAGGATTTTCTAATCCACGAGATTAACGACCAATCACAAATCGACTGAATTTCTACATAAAGACTGAAGTTTTGAAACATTTTAGATTTCACGACATTAATGAAAGAAAACGCCAATCAGAACCAAATAAGATGAGATAAGAAAGTATTAAAAATAAATTATTTTAGGGGAGTTTTACGTAAAACAACTTTCAGTGTACATTGACCGAAGATATAGTTGGTGTAGTGGAGAGTGCTAGATTATCTGTTTAGCAACAAGAGGACGTTTTACTGCCTTGTGAAGAAAGGATTTGAAAAATGAGATGATTGTTATTTATCTTTCCCACTTATCAGTATAAATGCAGAAAATGTTTGCTATTTCTAAAGGAATTGGATATTTTTAGTTAAAATATGAGTTTATATTAGTGAACAATATTCTGCACCAGTTTTCATATATTCATATATTATATTGCAGCATATTTACTTACTTAAAATTGTACACAAGTTTAGGCGTAGTAGGGAGGGGGCTCGAGAAAATAGGGAGGGGGCTCACTGAGAAGAAAAGGGTCAAATTGGTAATTTTGGTAGTTTCTAAGTACAAATTTAATGATTGGATTAATTTTATTATTTCCTTTTTTTGAAGAAAAATGTTGTCTGTCTGTCTAACTATCTGTTTATCTATCTATCTATCTATATCTATATCTATATCATATCTATCTATCTATATATCTATCTATCTATCTTATACTCTGGAAAGGGTAGATATAAGAGTATCAATTTCCTGGGTATTATGGCAAGTTTCTAAATCCTATGAAAGGTGTTGAAAACTTTATTTTTCTTTACAAAACATTCTTTTCACTTTGGAAATGATCAAATACTCAAAATTTACAACACGAATATGGGAGATATCGTCGTTTCCTACACTAGAAAGTGTTTGATTCTAACAATTTTGTCCATTGTTTCTGTCGAACAAAATCCGTTAGTGTAAAGAGAAACTGCCAAAAAATAGTATACCGTTGTGAATCTAACATGTCACTCTAAAAAAGAAGACTCATTTAAAATAACGTACACAGTTCCTTTAAGGAGCTTTAATTCCACAAAGTTCTCTTATTAAACCTTTATAAAACATCATCTTCACTTTAAGTTATTGTTGTGATCAAACAAAAGTTTTCAGAATTTTGAAAACACCTCTTATTTATTGAAAATAAAAAATATGCTACCAGTTACGTGTCAAACAAAGTGCTAAGCCAGCATATTGTATGCTTTGTATGCTTTGCATTTGTCAGCAATAATTTGTAATAGCACTTGTTGGACTGGTGTAAAACATATCAAGTTATGTTATTTAATAATATAGCTAATTTATTATTAAATAATATTTATGAAGAAAATAATATATATACATATTTTTATATGCAATGAATGCAATTGACACCTAAAGGGACTATACAAGTAATTTCAAATGAACCACCATTTCACAACGCTACATTTAAAAAAGTAATAATGAGGAAGAAAACGTTGTGTTTATTATCAAAAATGTATAGAATTCTTTAAATAAGACTTTATTGTTTCTGCATCAAAAATTTGCAATTCATTTTCATTGCTTTTATATGCTTGATCTTGATCTTTTGCTCATCTAAAAATTATTTTAATCTTTATTCGATAGCCTGGGAAGAATTTCGTCTGTGAAAAACGAACAGTTAGTCAGAATCCAGGAGGTTTTGCATTCCACCATTAAGAGAATAGAGTAGTTGCGGATTTAAAAGGTTAAGATTCTGCGTAAAATGTATAAGTGTCTCCTCATAAACTATATCGAGATCAAGCATGGATCTTCATCAAATACGGACATACTATTTTTTTAAATTTCTCTATTTTATTTCGTGGTGGCAATAGTCGTAAGAATAATTTATACTGTGCGGTCAAGCATCTATCCATAGTTCCCACGTTGAATATCGAGATCAAGCGTTGTAAGATTAAAGATACTACACATAAAATTCCGACCTCATAAACAGTGGTAAGAGGTTATATTTGAAGGTTAAAACACTTAGAAAGTGTGCATGTGAGCATTTAGTGAATTATCAGATCGATTGAATGATTGATTGAATGATTGATTTGTCAGAGGATGCAGTTGCAACAATACCGATCTCTGGGTGTACTGCACTCGCTTCAGGAACAACAAAAATAACAACAAATAAAAAACCAATGTTTATTTACGTTCAANATATCTGTAGTCTGGATATTGAACAGGGTTATTTGGGTCTAAGTTGAACCATGTTGGATATCTCTAATCTGTATATTGAACAGGGTTATTAGGGGTTAAGTTAAACTTTGTTGTATATCTGTAGTCTGGATATTGAACAGGGTTATTAGGGTTTAAGTTGAACCATGTTGGATATCTGTAGTCTGGATATTGAACAGGGTTATTAGGGGTTAAGTTGAACCTTGTTAAATATCTTTAATCTGGATATTGAACAGGGTTATTAGGGGTTAAGTTGAACCTTGTTGGATATATGTAGCCTGGATATTATGGTTTGAGTTGAACCTTGTTGGATATCTGTAGTCTGGATATGGTTCCTATTACACTGAATCCTCACATCACCTCCTTCACCATCATAAACTCAACAATCTCAAACCTCACCGAAGGTTAAAGGATATATACTCGTAAACGTTCTTAAAGGGAACCTTTGCTAAATATTTTCAAAAAAGAGATGTTGTAGATACTTTTCATACATTGATGCTTATTTACATTTATCATATACAGATGAAATAACAGACACGCCAGATACAGTTATCATATACAGCTGAATTAACAGACACGCCAGATACAGTCATCATATACAGCTGAAATAACAGACTCGTCAGATACAGTCATCATATACAGCTGAAATAACAGACTCGTCAGATACAGTCATCATAAACAGCTGAAATAACAGACACACCAGATGAATCAAGCTTAGCTGATATTTTACTACACGAATGTGTATAATAATGTTTTTGACAAAAGAATAAAAAGATTTTTTCCACCTCTCTCCCAAAAAATTCAAACGTTTTTTATCAAAATTCTGTTCTTTTATGCCATATTATCCTCATATTCATAGAACCGACATTTTTACTTTAAACTTTAAACAAATGCAAATCATCCCATTTCAAAGAAAAAGAAATTATTATTTTCTTCTTTTGATAAAAATATTATAAAGTGTCACGATATGGAAGCAGTGGTAGGAGGATTAGGGTCGGATCATACAATAGAACTTAAGTGCTTTTAGCATTCTTATATATTTATACATAATAATATAATTCTTTACAATACTTAAACTTTTTGGGAGTATCGGAGAGGGGGATGAGCGCTAGTTCAATGATATCACAAGCAGTTAAAGCTTCTTTGATCTGTTTTTCTTCAATAATATATGATTTAACTTTTTGTGTTTCATTGTAAAATTAACAACGCTTGTTTAAAAAAATAAAATTTAATTTTCAAATATCAAAAGGTTTTTTAAAGATTATTAAGTTAATAGGTTTCCAAAATTAATGAAGGTGTTAAAAGAAACTTGTGTTCATGTTGAAAATAATTTTTATGAAAAATTTCTTGCGGATTCTTCATAAAAAAGGTCCTCGTGAAATCCTAAAATTAGAAACAACTCTTTTATCACACAATATCAAACTTTAACAAGATAAAAAAAAAAATAAAATAAATCAAGATTCAGGGAAAAAATGGTTTTCAGATAAAAAAAATTTCAGGAAACCTGCTTGATTTTAAAGCTTAACCTTTTGTTCTGTTATGGTTGGATTTAAACCCAATTTTGAAGGATTAGGGTTGATGTGAATCCATCTATTGGCAGTTTCCTAAACAATGCTATATTTCAGGAACAGAAGGGGATGGAAGGTATCAGGGAGGGGGAAGGGGATGGGAGGGAGGGGAAATAGGGGATGGGACGAGAGGAAATGGGAGAGAATGGAAAGGGAGGGAAGAGACGGGAAGGGGAGGGAAGGAACTGGAAGGAGAGGGAAAAGGAAGGAATAAGAATGTATTTTTTGAAAAACATTTAGTCCGTGTTGAAATCAGAGTTTGCGGCAAGTTTTTAGTTCTTTTTGATTCCCTTTTCTCTTTGTTACTTTATATCTCTATCTTTAAAACCCTAAATTTCCTGTGCTGAAGTGAGTCCGGAGTATATATCCATTATCCAACCAGGGTTCCAATTTTACGAAGCTTTACTCCACTTGGATTTCTCCTGCAACAGAATAGAATCCCTGGCTGATGGAGTTTTCTCAAACCAGGTATATATAACAAGACATTCAAGCAAAAAGGAACTGAGTTCTTGCAAGAAACTCTTGTTTTTAAATTTTTATACCTGTGCAACCCGATGTTGTAGACCTTTGATATTTCAAACTATGAATTCTGTTGGATCAAATAGTCTAAGTTTGAAATATCAAAGGTCTACTTCATTGAGTTGTAAAGGTATTGGGATTAGAAAAGTTAAGTTTGTGGCAAGAAGGCAGTTCCTTTAGCATTTGACTTGTCTGTCTGTTTGTATCCAATAAACGTCAAAACGGCGATACCGATTTTGCTCACATTTTGGCAATGGGAACATTTAAATGTATATTAATGAGTATATTGTATGTAAGATCAGAACTTTTTTAATTAAAGAGCTATTGAGATGTTTTAAATTTCGAATAGTGACAAGATAAAGGAATTGAGTCTTTGCCACAAACTCAAATTTTCTAATCCCAATATCTTTGTAACCTTAAAGTGAAAATCTTTTATATTTTCAATCATAACTCTTCTAATTGAAGATCTATTGAGAAAAACATACATACATACATACAGAGGAGGTCGTCTTTCCCCATTAATTTGTTGAATTTTAAAATCAACTCTAGAACTCTAAGCAAGCTTTTTTCTCCTGTCATGTGAATTTATTGAGAAAATATTAAAAGTCTATTTTGACTGAGGTTATATCAAATAATATAATTTCATTTTAACCTAAGCTTCAGATCTTAAAATCTCCATAAAAAGTATATTTACGAATCTTCATCTTTATACTTTTAAAACTGGAAACTTTTTTAATATAATACATATATATTTATTCATCATTAATATTTGTTTAAAGCAAAACTTCATTTAACAATATAAAAGTTTACAATTTAAAACTAATACTCTTTTCTCTGGATATCGCATTTTATGTTGACAGGATTTTCAAAAAAACAGGTGCCATACAAGACTTTTGTTTAGTTATTCAGAGATAGTTTTCAGAAATTGAGTTTCTTGGTCCCAGTCTAGTGTTTTTCGTTTTTTTTAAATGGTATGATGCCAGCACTGCAAGGCTTGATGAATTTTCGCACATTGCTTTGAAACTAACACTGAGCTTGCAGTACTTATGCAGTTTCTTTGGGTTTGCTTTATTTGATGGTGAGATATATCCTCTTGAGCCGATTTCCAAAGGGTGAACAGACACATCCTAAGTGGTTATATCTGTGATAAAATGTTCATATTTGTTCATTTTTTTAGTGTTGGAATTTTTTATATGTTTCCAATGGGACAGTAAGGTAAAAAATATCCATCTTTTCCTCCATTCTATCGATAATTACTAGATCTGGTTTCTGTGCGGTCTCAAGGAGGGGGGGGGGGAACAGTACCTAACCCTGGAAGGGTATGGGACGGGATGTCGGCATACATCAATAATCGGTCAATATCAATTAATCCAGTAATATATTTAATAAGCCATCCAAAATATAGTTTGTAGTTTCTTGTCTTCTACCTTGCAATTCAGCGCCTGCCTGTAAACATAGTTTACAGAGATCTGATGCAGATTTTCCCAATTGTAGAAGGTTGGTTTGTGTTGGCAGGATGTCTAAACAGGAGTTAAGTAGAAATTTCAGTGTTCCTTTCTTCAATATAATATAATTATGATTCCCAACAAAAATTGAGGTTTCAGCCACTAAGGAAACGTTTAACCCTATTCCTGATGGGGGGGGGTCAATTTGACCCCCCCCCCTGTAGCTTTTTTTACATAACTCAAAAAGTATTGGTCTGAGGCTGTTGAAATTTTCTGACTTTACCTACATACCCAAAGCCCTCCATTTAGGCCTAAAACCGGGCTTTAATTCTAACTGCCTGAGTCCTCAGGCACACTGCCTGAATGACTGCTTTTTCCTGTAACAAACAAAATCTTTGTTTTGACCCACTTCCACTTGTCAGATTTTGATAAGATTTAGCTTTTTGGAAAGCCTTTGACATAAGGAAACAAATTGCACAAGTTTTGCGAAAATAAATTGCAAATTTTTTGCAAACAACCTGTCAAAGGAAATTTGCACATTTTTAGTTTTTCTTGATTAAAAATTAGGTTATTTAAAATTTTGCAAAAATTTTTGCATATTTGAAATGGCATGGTCAAGGGCTTTTCAAAAATGTATAATTTGTCATTTTTTGGACAAATTTTTTTTTGCAAACATTTTTACTATATAACTGGATTTTGCGATAAAAATTTCAATTTTTGCAAATTTGCAAATTTTTTTGCAGATTCTAAAAGTAGAGCACAAGAGCTTTCCAATGATGTATCATTTGTCATATTTGGACACCAAACATGGGATTTAGAGGGGGGGGGTCAAATTGACCCCCCCCAGCATATCCTGGTTTTCAAGTACCCCAGCAGAGATAGGGTTAAGAGTCTAATACTCTTTATTCTCTTTCAAGTTAATTCTCCTCCGATATATCTAACTTTAATTCTTAAACATCTCTACAAAAAGGTTTAATCTTGATTTTGTTCTTTCCTCTGAGTTTTCAATCCTGTTGTATGTGTTCAATGATCCAAGCTAAAACGAGGACCCGGAGTCAAATGATCCAGAAACCGTATTTTCTCCACGGGTTTAATATCTTGTCATAAAAGGGAAGAAACTTAGTTCTCTCATCTTCATTCAACCTTACTCCGGGATACAATGGTTTATATCCTACCTTAACCTTACTCCGGGATATACTGGTTTATATCCTCCCATAATCTTACTCCGGGATATACTGGTTTATATTCTCCCTTAACCTTACTATGGGATATAATGGTTTATATTCTCCCTTAACCTTACTCCAGGATATACTGGTTTAAATTCTCCCTTAACCTTACTCCGGGATATAATGGTTTATATTCTCCCTTAGCCTTACTCCGGGATATACTGGTTTATATTCTCCCTTAACCTTACTCCGGGATATAATGCTTTATATTCTCCCTTAACATTACTCTGGGATACAATGGTTTATATTCTCCCTTAACCGTACTCCGGGATATAATGGTTTATATTCTCCCTTAACCTTACTCCGGGATATACTGGTTCATATCTCCCTTAACTTTACTCCAGGATATACTGGTTTATATTCTCCCTTAACCTTACTCCGGAATATAATGGTTTATATTCTCCCTCAACCTTACTCCGGTATATAATGGTTTATATTCTCCCTTAACCTTACTCCGGGATATACTGGTTTATATTCTCCCTTAACCTTACTCTGGTATATAATGGTTTATATCCTACTCCGGGATATAATAGTTTATATTCTCCCTTAACCTTACTCCGGGATATATTGGTTTATATCCTCTATTAACCTTACTCCGGGATATAATGGTTTATATTCTCCCTCAACCCTACTCTAAATTGACACAGTTTAAAAATCAGCTTTCAAGTCAACCCAGTCCTGGAAATTGATGCACCAAGCACCCTGGATCTATTTATGTGAAGGATAGATATGTTACAATTAAATTACAGATTTTCGTGCATTTTAATACTTCCGCTCTCCCCCCCCCCTTCTAACCCCCCTCATACCATTTACCCCTGCAAATCATCCCCCTTCCTCCCCCCCCTCCCTGCTCTCCCAATCCTTTTCCTAAATCTAATATTGGATACAATCAGTCAAAGCAAATATAGCAACATGGCCACTTGACAAACAATAAGAATGAGTAGCCAGGGAATCCAGGGAATTCAGGGAATCCAGGGAATCCAGGGAATCCAGGGAATCCAGGGAATCCAGGGAATCCAGGGAATCCAGGGAATCCAGGGAATCCAGGCAATCCAGGCAATCCAGGGAATCCAGGGAAGCCAGGAATTCCAGGGAATCCAGGGAATCCAGGGAATCCAGGGAAGCCAGGGAATCCAGGGAATCCAGGGAATACAGTGAATCCAGGGAATCCAAGGAAACCAGGGAATCCAGGGAATCCTTGGAATCCAGGGAATCCAGGGAATCCTTGGAATCCAGGGAATCCTTGGAATCCAGGGAATCCTTGGAATCCAGGGAATCCAGGGAATCCAGGGAATCCAGGGAATCCAAGAAATCCAGGCAATCCATAGAATTCTTGGAATCCAGGGAATCCAGGGAATCCAGGGAATCCAGGCAATCCAGGCAATCCAGGGAATCCAGGCAATCCAGAGAATCCAGGGAATCCAGGGAATCCTGTATTTAAAAGTCCCTAAGTTTATCTAGTTCTGTGCTAAAGTGTTTACCCTGATATAATCCTTGATATCCGTCCTGAACCCGGAGAATGGGATACACAAATAGAATCTAATCTTTTTAGACCCAATCTTACTCCGTCCTTCCTTCCATCCCCAAAATCCTTCTAGTCCTGGAGAAATAGAAAAATATATCCATAAAAATATAAATGTTTTCAAACAAATATTCAAAATTTAAATATTTACAGACAAATATTCAAAATATACATATTTACAGAAAAATATTCAAAATATGAATATTTACAGAAAAGTATTCAGATATTAATATTTACAGACAAATATTCAAAATATTAATATTTCCAGACACATATTTGAAATACAAATATTGAAACACAAACATTCAAAATAGAAATACTTGTAGACAAACTTTAGAAATTTAAATATTTATAGACACAAACATCCATGTAGATATTTGCAGAGAGTTAGGGTTCAGTCAATCAGAGTTGGTGGCGGGGTTAGAAATTCATGTCAGTTATTGCTAAACAAATAAACATTACAACTGAATAGTGTAAATTTACAATGGTTTATAAAGACAAACAAATGTTACACAAAGGAATTGAGTCTATGCCACAAACTCGGATTTTTAAAACCCAATTTATTTAAAACCAAACGTCGTAGACCGTAGATATTTCAAACTATGAATTCTGGTGGATCAAACAATGTAAGTTTGAAATATGACAGGTATGCATCATCTGGTTCTTGAGATATAGGTATTATAAAATTGGGATTTGTGGCAAAAACTCAATTCCTTTGAAAATTTGAAAATTTAAAAACTCTACAACTCTTGTATTGGATAATCCCAATCTCTTGATCTCGATAAAAGGTTAGAAAATTTGTGTTTGTGACAAAGACTCAGTTCCTTTAATCTGGGGAATCATATTAAAGGGAGTGTTCGCGAAAAATGAAAGGGGGTATAAGCTTGCGGCGAATTTAATCAAATCAATTTAATTCCAAACAAATCATTCAGATATTACAAACAATAGTCATCGATTATTTTTCGACGCATTCGTATCTAGTTAATATTTCATAATATTTTTTATTTTGTTTTTTTTTAAATAATTTTCGCTGGCGCTGGATTTTCGAACATTCCTGGAAAATATGAAAATGGCGTCGTTTCAAAAATCCTCGAAACAGAAATAAATGTTTTCAAAAGTAACTCTCAGATCGTGAAAAATACAAAGTATTATGAAATAACAACTATTTACGAATGCGTCGAAAAATAATCGATGACTATTGTTTGTAATATCTGAATGATTTTTTTGGAAATAAATTGATTTGTTTACGATCCGAGTTAAATGTAGCATCTCTCTGAATTTGTATGAACACTACGTTCTTCGGTATGAGTCGTTTTCAACAATTTTCTCCTTATAGACGCAACAGATAGAAGTAATATTAGTAGCAATCAAAAGCGCTTATTTTTCGCCGCAAACCTATACCCCTTTCATTTTTCGCGAACACTCCCTTTAAACGTATTAATCTCCCAACCCTTCCTGCTATTAAGTCATATGATTTCTTAAGGATGGAAACCTATTAATATTCTATTTAACCATTCTCCATGTATGTAAATGCAAAGTATAGACAACTCAGTTGGTTGGATTAGAATTCATAACTAGAGTAGGATATTCGAGTAGAAGTATACAATATAAAACACTGGGTAGGATAAGCTGAGTATATAATATAGAACTCAAGGTAGGATACTGAATATACAATATAGAACTCAGGGTAGGATACTGAGTATACAATATAAAACACTGGGTAGGATACTGAGTATATAATATAGAACTCAAGGTAGGATACTGAGTATACAATATAGAACTCAGGGTAGGATACTGAGTTTACAATATAGAACTCAGGGTAGGATACTGAGTAAACAATATAGAACTCAGGGTAGGATACTGAGTTTACAATATAGAGCTCTGGGTAGGATACTGAGTATACAATATAGAACTCAGGGTAGGATACTGAGTACACAATATAGAATGTGCCCTATGTTTGGAAATGAGTAGTTTATAATAAGGAAAGAATTTAAAGAGATCAAACCTTCAAGAGAAGAATATTAAAAGATTAGATATTTGAAATTTTCTAAATTTTGGTTAAAATAATTTTAATGATTACTTCTCAAGTTCTACTAAATACTGTTTCTAGAATAGACCTTCTCACTCTCATTTTGATAAAATTTAAAGAATTTGGCGCTATTTTTCTTTTTCGGAAAAAATATAAAGAATTTGGCGCCATTTTTCTTTTTCGGAAAAAAATATAAAGAATTTGGCGCCATTTTTCTTTTTCGGAAAAAATATAAAGAATTTTGTGCCATTTTCCTTTTTCGGAAAAAAATATAAAATTTCATAATTTTCTGTTTCAGGATAAACTGAGAAGACTGGATCTCAGTTTTAACAAGATTCAACAACTCTCCAACAGAACCCTCCTAGGTCTAGAGAACCTGGAGAACCTAAGATTAGCTGGCAATCAACTCTCTACCCTGGAGCAGGGTTGGCTGGAACCCTGTTCTAATTTAGTTTATCTTGATCTCTCGGATAATAATCTTAAACTGTTGGACGAGTCGGTTCTCTCCGGAGCAAGGAACCTGAGATATCTGACCTTGTCTTACAATTACATAAATCAGATATCGGATACATTACACGCTCCACAACTTGACAGCTTGACCTTAGCAGGCAATCCTCTCCAATCATTCTCATTTTGCAGAGTAAGTTCTCTCTCCCATCTCCGGATACTGAATATATCTGGGACAGGTTTGACCAAGATTGGCTCCTGTCAGGACACTCTGAGATCACTTGAGATATTGGATATAGCTGGTAACTATCTTGACCTACCTCTACCCCAACTCCTAGCTCTACCAAACCTACAACAGCTCAGCGCTGGTCAGAGAAATATTTCCGTCTTGTCAAAAACATCCTTTGTTGGGCTTGACACTCTCCGCAGTATTGAGTTATCCTACTCTCCAATACTGACAAGGATAGAACCCGGAGTTTTTGCCAGTCTTCACCTTCTAGAAAACATTATTATAACAGGATGCCCCGGTCTAGAGTATCTTCCCGTAGGATTAATCCTAGACGGAGAAAATCCACTAAATATTGATTTGCGCGGGAACGGAATAACCTGGATAGATCCCGGTAGCCTACCCTGGAACCGGGTGTTACGCCTAGATCTTGGAGATAATCCTCTACATTGTGACTGCAGGATGGTCTGGTTAATCCCTGTTTTACTGAATATCAACCATACCGCAATATGTCGCTCCCCGCTTCAATTCTCCCGGGTTTCTATCTCAGATCTTCAAGAGGATGAATTCAACTGCGTGATACTCGGCCCTCTCCAGGTGTCTGTTGTATCAGTTTGTCTGGTTCTGATTTCTCTAGCTCTGGGTATAATTGGATTTCTAGTTTATAGACGGAAGAAACCTAGCGGAGTGATTGCAGATTTCCCTCCTCCGGGTTATCTACAGCATTACAAGGGTGGATGTGAGTTAGGTTGGCCGGATAAACCTCCGATCTTTAATGACGCGGATTGGGCGTACTTAGAACCTAAATGTTCTTGTAGAGAGTTGTATGAAATACCAGGCCAGGGTAAGGAATCCATGGATAACTATTATCAGAATAGCAGAGGAATCAAATCTGATACTTTAACTAAGTATTCTAAATCTTCTCCTAATCTTGATATCTCCAGCACATTTAGTAGATCTAGGCAACATACCTTTAAACTGAAACAAGTTCAGAGTTCATTAGATGATAGAACCATATTGGATGATTGGAGTAAACCGGAATTTACCTTAGATCGGAGTAAGCCAGGCTTATCCTTAGATCGGAGTAAACCAGATTTTACATTAGACCGGAGTAAAACCGTCCCGTCTCATCTGAGTTCTGACTATTTTCTTGCCCATACAGATGTTTGTGAGACGTCAAGAATGGATAAATTTCCAATACTAGATGTTGACAGGACGGGTTGTATTGGGACCCGGATATCAGGGTTCAATATCACAAATCATAACAGAGGAGTAGTGTCCACTGTAGACCAGGAGTATTTAAGCCGGGTTGGAACCCAACCAAATGTTCAAAACTACTATTTAGACATAGGAAACACTAACATGGATAGTCCAGAACGTCAGGGAACCGGATACCATCCATTCGTCCGAACAAACCCACGGCTTGGACGAACCCTTCTCTCCGCTAGTTTTGATCATCTCAACTCTACAATTTCTGCTCCTGGAGAAAACAAAGCTGTGTTAAATCACAATTCTTAGCACGTCTCACCCTGGTCGACACAATCACACTTTCAACAGTTTAAACTTGGTTAAATCAAACCTCAGAGAGAGAAACATCAAGGGTTCACATTCTCCTTCTTCTCCAATAAACAGAACAGTGTAAACAAGATACAGACAAACTCCAAATCAGAGTTAAAAAGTTCACAGCATTACAAAAAATTCCTATAAAAGGGATTGTTCATGATTTTGGATAATTGATACTTGATGGCCATCCTCTTTAATTTAAGTTTAAATGGTTAAAAGCTGAATAAGTTGACTATTATATATTCAAATTATAGACTGAAAAAAAATTTACATATTATCTTATGAAATTAGCTAAATTAGCGTAATTAAGGTTATATACTTCTGTCAACTATAAAATTTTCACAAAAAGAGCAAGTCCGTGAACAGCCATTAGATATTTCTATGTATCAGATTCCTTTATCAGAGTTAGATTTTAATAAATCCTATTGTTTAAAATGTATTAAGATTATAGTCAAGGTCGTACCTGTGAGATAAAATTCAAGGAAAAAGATAAGCGCTTTTGTTTTGCTGTGTGCTCTGCATAAAAAGGTTCAGTTACCAACCTGATTGCAGATATAAATGGGAAATAGAAAAACTTGGAAGCAGATTTAATAAAAAGAAAGAAGTTGTTGAACCACATAGAAGAAGGGGGGGGGGGGTTGATCCGCGTAGAACAAGTTGAATGCCGGCTTAAGCTGTAAAGAAGTAGTTGAACCACGTTTAGATGGTTTAACCATGTCTTGCTGTTGAATTTAGTCCCTGAATAGATTTTATAAAAGTTAATTAAGTATTTAAGTAAAGGATTTTGTTATTGACAGTCAAATTAGTTTGGATTGGATTTAACCAATTTGTTGTAATTTTCATTATTTAGCAATCGATACAGCTCAAGATAGTTAAACTGGGATTGCTAAGAATTGGTTTGTGATGCAGAGTGTCCCACGACACATGACAGTTAGTGAAGGTTTTAAATGGTTTCTTCCATAATTTTGTTAAGTTCAGGGGACATTAGTTCCACAACTAACACTTGGCCCATTTCTAACACTAAACTGGGTTTTTGGGATCCTGGCCCAGATCCAGAGTAAAAGTCTATAGTAAAAACTATAACCAAAATTTTATTAAACATGACGAGGACAACAATTCTTAATTTTAAACTTTTTTTGAAATCAAAATTATAATAGGAGTTCTTATTATATTAAATCTCTTGATCTTTTTCAAGACAATGTCAGATTTTCCATTTTCGAACATTTTGAACAGTCGCGGTTTCGAGACAAAATCCACTTTCCCGTTTTTGAGTATAATCCGTCTTTCAGAACAAAGCTCGCTTTCATAACTTAGGATATGTTCCTAAAACGCGACATGAGCTGAAATCCGGTAATTGTTTCAAAATAAGGATAGTTTAAAATGGACATTTATTGTTTCAATATTTAGTTTTAGCCATTTTTGATAAAAATATGGTGCAATTTTGTTCTACTCGTCTAGGATTTAAAGATATATACTCTTGAAAAAGATAATGTTGCAGATTTGGCCTATTTTTAACACACACTGTTAGAAATGGGCCAAGTGTTCGTTTTGAAACTAATATGCCCTGAAGTTGTTAGATGCCAAATAAAAAAAAATAAAAAATATAACATGGCAGTTGTATCGTAGTAAATTGAGTCCAAAGTAAAAATATTTAGCTAAAAGATTTGTTTATCGTAAAAACTGCGAAACGTCTTAATACAGGGTTACCCACAAAAGATGAGACTGTAAAGACGACACAAAACTTTTAAAATATGACGATTTGAATCCTGATTTCTGGATGTTGCATTCAACTTAGTTATTTGATGGTTTACTAATCCGTTAAGTGCAGAAAAAAGCTCAGTTTTGGCCTACAAGGAACCCTGAATACAAGAAAACAGACCAAACAAATTCCGTACAATCGTCTCTAAAGTCTCATCCTTTGTGGGCGACCCTGTACTTAAAACAGTTTATGGAAGAGGACATTCAAATCTTTTGCCAACTGTGGGACACCCTGTATCTAGTATTTGAAAATCTATAAATTTAATTTTGAGATATAGGGGGTAGGGAGGGGGGGGGGATGAGGTTTTGCTAATATTTGTACGTTCTGTCCAACTTTTCTAAAAACGATCTTTGCACTCCAAAAATCATAAAAACTGACCTCTCCTATAGCGACATAGCCTTTCATGGTCGTGATTATTTAGTAGCACAGACAGAGAGTTTATCTGGGTTAGAATGAAATTATTATTAGTTAATAGTTTTATCAAGGTTTTCCCACTTTTTCTAAGCATAATTCCTTTAAAGGGACTGTAATTGAAATTAAATTTAATGAAGAGGAGCACGTTCCATTTATATCAGAACCTTTTATTTCCTTATTACAGAGAAGCCAAATTAAAAAATACTGATTTTTTAATGCGATAAACATGGATAAATAAGCTTTTATTGGTATCGTGGTTCAACGTTCATTCGAGTTTTTGCAGAAACAGATTGAGACAAAGAATATTCGGTATTTTCGAGATATACATATATCGTCAGCAGTGATGAGTTTACACTGTACGCTAGAGTAAACTCCGGTTTTACGGCAATTCGAACCATATGTAAGAGATAAACACACAGATTTCTTTGGCCTCGATGATTAGTTAACGGTTTAAAGGGTTGGAGAGTTAGTTGAAATTACGCGTAGAGTCCCATTAAGCAGAGGTATTAAAGGAAAATTTACCAGAAAATAAAGAATTTGTAAAGAATGAAAGGATTGTATAATATCCAGGAGTTTAAATACTTTCCTGTTTAATCTAATGTGAAGGGAAAATACAGAACATTACCCGCTGTAATTACTGTTTGGGAAACGTTAAGATCCTTGATAACTTGATATTCAGGGTGTCCCAATAAACATAACTTGATATTCAGGGTGTCCCTATAAACATAACTTGATATTCAGGGTGTCTCAATAAACATAACTTGATATTCAGGGTGTCCCAATAAACATAACTTGATATTCAGGGTGTCCCAATAAACATAACTTGATATTCAGGGTGTCCCAATAAACATAACTTGATATTCAGGGTGTCCCAATAAACATAACTTGATATTCAGGGTGTCCCAATAAACATAACTTGATATTCAGGGTGTCCCAATAAACATAACTTGATATTCAGGGTGTCCCAATAAACATAATTTGATATTCAGGGTGTCCCAATAAACGTAATTTGATATTCAGGGTGTCCCAATAAACATAACTTGAAATTCAGGGTGTCCCGATAAACATAACTTGAAATACAGGGTGTCTCCGTAAACATAACTTGATTTATAGGTTGTCCCAATATCTTCGTTGTAGTCTAAAAATGGACTTAACATTTTTATGCTATTTTTTATAAATTGAAATTTCCAAAGAAACAAAATAGATTTCTTGAAATACCGAAGAGAGTTCGATTTTTTAAAATTCTTCACTTAATTCCCTTGTTTCTTGGAACACCATCAACATATTCACAGGAAATAGATTAAAGACTTTTAGAAACCAAGATGGAGGGATAGAGACTAACAACACTGTCTAAGTATGGCAGAACGTGACGTTTATTGGTTATTCTGACCTAAACGATCAATATCAGCCACAAGGTTCACGCGGGATTTTCAAGTTATTTTAGAACGGTTTAGATCAAACTTTCTTTACAGAAATATCGGATAGAAATTAATCAATACAAAAATTGAATTCGCTTATGTTGTTATTTTTTAATCAAAAGTCAAACTTAAATCTTTTTGTTGCTTCCCCCTGTCTGTTGTTACATTCTAACGTCTGGTTTCTCCCAGGTTTAAAATATAAAAATCCAAGAAAAACTTCAACCATTCGTCACAATTTGTTCAAATTTTTCAAATAAATCTTAAAGATCGTCGATTTTGAAACTATCAGTTTTCCAATAAATCAAATATTTCTTATTCAAGGGNCTGACAGACCAATAAACACTAGAGATATTGAAGAATATCCGAATAAATTGGTTTTACTGAACTAGTTCTCCTCAACTCAACTTTATGCCATTAACACGTATCAGAACCTGATTCAAGAGAGAAGGATTTCAACTAGATCTACCTAGTTGAACTACTTATCTCTAGGACATCAAGAACAGTTAAAGAAATGTTCAATGAAGCGCGCTTAAATATTGTTTAATTAGTTCTTTTTATTCATAAATTCCGACCTCAGTGCTACCTTTACTGTCATAACAAAATGCTCCGCAAGATTAAGAAAATTTATTTTATTCACGTAATTAGAAGTGACCCATTATCTGCAGTCCATTATAAGATATTCTGTCAAAATTCTGATTTTTTACAATCTGAAATTGAATATTTTTCGGCATTTTTTTCGGCAGAAGCCCAAAACGTTCAAAGAATTAACAAGGGTAAAAATGATAAATTAAAACCTGCAATTTATTTTTATACTCTTCATGGGTTTAATTCATTAAAGAGTACCAACAACTATTCACGACGGTTTATTTTTATAACAATTACGCGTCAAACTAACGTAAATTTCACGTAAGATTGACATCTTATAGCACTAATATCTCTCCGCACAAACCTCATACTTGTGCATAGAAATCAAAACTGGAGGAGCTTTGAGGTCACAACGTCGTACCAGTACAATCAAAACTGGAGGAGCTTTGAGGTCACAACGTCGTACCAGTATTGTCTTTTTCTTCTTCGGTCTTTTTTAGTCTCAGTCAAATGAACCACTCTGAATTTGAACAAAACCCAGATGAAGAAATAAATATATTTTCATCCAGTCGTTATTTCGAGCTTACAGACTCATTAGTTGAATATAGTTTTTATAATAGTCGGATATGTATCTTAATACAGTACATAAATAGAACCACAAATATTTTTGTAAACAAGTGTAATATCGGATTTTTTCTAGTTGTGGGGTGTTAAATTTTTTAGATTTTAATATTGGAGTAAAAAATTTTGTAGATTTTACTTCCGTAAGTTATCGTATTTTTTTTTGCAATATTAACTTAAAAATCTAAAAACCAAATGCTTTTAAGAAGTCTAAACTCAGATACTTGATTAGAAGAACAACAAATATGAAAAACATGGTTTTATATCCTTATTGTTTCGCTACTTAGCGATTTCCCTAAAGACCTAATATAT